GTAGAGGGTAGCGGTGTTTGCTCCCTGGAAAAAGTCCCTTTGGACCTCATGGGGGATGTGTGAACTGTCACCCAAAATGTCCACAGTCTTGATTCTCCCCATGGGAACAGTGGTGTTGAAGTGTTGTACTAAGGAAAACAAATCAGATAAGCATTTCTCATCCGTGAGTTAGAGATGTGGACAGAAGGGGGACTTGTGTGCAAGCGGCTGCTTGAAATCCTTGTTGGTTTTGAAGCTTTAGATGTGGATTCTGTGTTAGAGGAGGAATAGAAACAGAAACCAGCACTTTCTGTTTATTGATTTGAGAGAGAAAAACATCGATTTGTTGTTCCACTTATTCTTAAAAATATATATTTTTATTGATTTCAGAGGGGGAGGGAGAGAGAGATAGTAACATCAATGATGAGCGAGAATCATTGATGGGCTGCCTCCTGCACGCCCCACACTGGGGCTTGAGCCTGCAACCCGGGCATGTGCCCTGACCGGGAATCGAACCGTGACCTCCCTATTCATAGGTCAACGCTCAACCACTGAGCCACACCAGCCAGGCCAGTTTCCTTCTTTACGCCCCATGCAGTCGAGATCTAAGTCCTAAAGGGAGAACTCTGGAAGTCGGAGCTGTATCTCCCGCCTCCCTCTTGGCTGGGAGTGTCTTGGACTGTCCCACCTGAGACCTTCCACGGGGGAGAGGGAGGAGAGGGAGAGGACGCACCTCTAGGGGAAGTCGGAGGAGGAGCTGCGGATGCTGGGAGGCCCAAGACAGAGATCTAGAATCGCAGGAGAAAGAAAGAAAAATACTCTTGGACATGGTGTCTGACCCGTCAGTGGGAAACGCAGACCGACGCTGGAAATGGGGATGCTGTGCAGAATCCAATATTTGCACGTGCCACCTGGTGCGACTGTGTCCGGCCCATGTCGCAGCCGGTCCGTAAGCATGCATTGAGGCGTAGTTTGTAATCCCAGGTCACATATACCTGTGCATTCTGCTGCTGCCCCAAAAGGGAGAAAGCCTCGCTTATGTCCTCTTCATAAGCATTACTTCCATCTCTGTATGTATTCTCTCTAGTTGGTGTCATATACTGGGCTACTGTTATAAATTGAATGTCAATTACCATTTTATTATTATTATTATTTTTTAATCCTTACCCGAGGATATTTTTCCATTGATTTTCAGAGAGAGTGGAAGAAAGAGGGAAAGACAGAGAGAAACATCAATGTGAGAGAAACACATCGATTGGTTGCCACCTGCATGTGCCCCGACCAGGGCCCAGGCTGGGGAGGAGCCTGTAACTGAGGTACATGCCCTTGACCCGAATCAAACCAGGGACCCTCCAGTTCGCAGGCTGTCGCTCTGTCCACTGAGCCAAACCAGCTAGTGCTCAATTACCATTTTAGATAAAACACTACAGAAACAGCTAAATGTTTTAATTGTTTGAAATATTTCCTTAGAAGAAATTCTAAGTAATCATATCATTGGGCCAATATCTATAATAATAAAAGCGTAATATGCTAATTAGACCAGATGTCTTTCTGGACATCCTTCCAGACGACCTTCTGGATGAAGCTGGGGCTGCGAGGGAAGCCCGGGTCCCGGGTGCTGGAGGGAAGCCGGTGCTGGCAGCCGGGGAAAGGAAGGCCTACTCTTGCACAAATTTCATGCATCGGGCCTCTAATATATTTATATATTAACCTATGGCAACATTGCATTTCTGAGGGCTAGTTAAAATGCGTTGGAATTTTAATCTCACGTCAATCTCCCAGTGTTGTGTGCGATCCTCTCCCTTATGTGTCTTTTTATGGTAATAACCTGGTGCTGTTGTTGCTTTCATTTGTTTGCGTTTAATTGTTACGGATGTTGAGCAGCGAAAGGGAATCTTTGGCCAGGACTTCTCACGTCAATCTCCCAGTGTTGTGTGCGATCCTCTCTCTTACGTGTCTTTTTATGGTAATAACCTGGTGCTGTTGCTTTCCTTTGTTTGCGTTTAATTGTTACGGATGTTGAAAGGGAATCTTTGGCCAGGACGCGGGGCACTGAGCTGGCAGGAGCAGTCCCCAGCTCACGGGGGCAGGGGGGGGAGGGGGGGAGATTGCTTCCGTATTCCAATTTTATTACAAAATGGAAACTGCTTCCCTGACAGATGGTGGCATCTAGGCAGAACCGAAGTAGATCGAGCTTCTATTTTGAAAGAATGGCTTTTAGATTTTCTTCCCGGCCCTTCTCTTGCATCTCCTCCTTTTCCCCTCGGGCAACCTGGAGCCTGCCTGCAGGTGGTGGGCGAGGGTTGGGTGCCCAAGCACTGGAGTCAAGCTGTCAGTGTGAATGCTGCCTTCTTCACTCACCACCAGGGGGCGTTGGATAGCTGAACATCTCACTGGGCTTTTTACGATTCCACTGTTTCATTCCTTAATTTAGGGAGTTTTGTCAAATCTCTTTGGACTGAACATTGCATAAGGCCCTGGGCTGACCGCAGGGCTCTCTTGTAAGCACAGCACCCTCCCATCCCCAGGGCAGATAAGAAAGAAGCTTTGTTGCTTGGCCTGTGTGGCTCAGTAGTTGAGCTTCGACCCATGAACCAGGAGGTCACCATTCCATTCCCAGTCAGGGCACATTCCCCGGGTGGCAGGCTCGATCCCCAGGAGGGGGCGTGCAGGAGGCAGCGATCAATGACTCGCTCTCCTCATTGATGTTTCTCTTTCTCCCACTCTCCTTCCCTCTCTCTCTGAAATCAATAAAAACATTTTTTTAAAAAGGAAGAAGCTTTGCTAATCTCTACCACCCTCCGCCTGCAGAGATCTGACTGAGTCATATTTGTGGGTGCAGCTCTGATAGTATTTCAGACTCCAGCCTGCTCCCAATCGGGGCTCACCGACTGCTCACCCACAGACTTTTGCTTTGTAATATTCGTGTTTCTAACAATCGTGTCACTGATACGGTTGAGGACAGAAGCGAGTGCTACAGAGCTGGCGTTGCGTCTGGCACCGTTCCCAGCGCTCTCCCTGGTTCTGTTCAAACCAGCAGCCCCGGGAAGTAGGCACAATCGATTCCGTTTTACAGACACAGAGCAGCTTCGGGGACTTGGACAGAGCAAGAGACTTTCCCAAGGTTGTACTGCCGGCGAGAGGCAGGCAGAAATGGCACTTGAACCTGGGCAGGCTCACGTTGCAAAGTCCTTGTGTTTAATCACTACGCTGTGCTGCCTCTCCTATAAAAAAACAACTTTAAAGTGAGGATATTCAGAATCACTGAAATATTTTTTCTCTAAACGCGTTGTTTTCCACCTTAGAGAGCAGGTGATTGTTTTCTTGTAGCTCCATTTGGCTAGTGTAGGGAGACACCTGGTGGCCGTTCTGTTTGTTTGTTTTTTTAAAAAAAACTTTTATCATGGGAAATTCAATTACATTTCAAAGTAAACAGAATAGTGTAATAAATCCCTCCCGTACCCAGCAAGCTACCCTGGCATAAATGTTTTCGTTTATGCCTCCACCCACTCCCCATCCCCTCCCACTTGATTATTTTGATGGTTCTTTTAAAAATGTACAGCCCTAGCCGGTTTGGCTCGGTGGATAGAGCATCGGCCTGTGGACCAAAGGGTTCGATTTCGGTCAAGGGCACGTACCTTGGTTTCAGGCTCCTCCCCGGCCCGGGCCCTGGTCAGGGCGAGTGCAGGAGGCAACCAATCGATGTGTTTCTCTCACATCGATGTTTCTGTCTTTCCCCCTCTCTCCCACTCTCTCTCTAAAAACCAATGGAAAAATATCTTTGGGTGAGGATTAAAAAACAAATAAAATAAAAAACAAAAAAAATTTTACACATATCAAAATGCACACCGTCTTCACACATACCTTGCCAGATAGACCCACCCGTGTAACGCCCAGCCCTCTTGGGTCAGAGAACGTTTCCATTAGTCCTAACACTGCCCCTTGCCAGACAACCCCCTCTAACCAGGCGGCGATTGTTCAGATGTTCTCTGTGGATTCGTTTTGCTTGTCCTAGAATTTCATATAAATGGAGCCAGAGGGCGCACCGCCTTTTGTCTCCGGTCCTTTCACTCGGCCGCATGTCTGAGAGCCATGGTGTCCCCGTGCACGCCAGCGTTTCTCTTTGATCGCCGGGCCCGTTCGGTGGCATCGATGGCCCGAGCGCCTTCTCCGGTTGATGGGAATTTGGATTGTTTCCAGTTCGGGGCCGTGATGAATAACGTTGGTGTAAACCTTCGTGTTCGGGTCTTTCTGTGAGCGCGTGTTTACACTCGTCTTATGTAAATACTTGGGGATGGGACTGCGGGATCAAAGGGGAGAGGCTCGGTGACTTCATTAGAAACTGCCAGACTTCGCCCCGAAAGGATTCTATCCCTCCGCGTCTCACTGACCCTGTTTGAGCGTTTGGTCGGCTCCAGGTCCTCGCTAACTAGGATTCTATCCCTCCGCGTCTCACTGACCCTGTTTGATTGAGCGTTTCGTCGGCTCCAGGTCCTCTCCAACATCGGGTGTTGTCAGTCTCTTTTCTTTGAACCGTTTTGGGGGAGGCATCTCACTGCGGTTTGCATTTGCATTTTCCTGATGGTTAAGGATGCTGAGCATTCTTCTAGGTGTTTCTTGACCATTTGTCTATCTCCCTTTGTGAAATGTCCATTCATGTTTTTTTTGCCCAGTTTTTATTGAGCTTGACTCTTTATTATTGAGCTGTAGGAGCTATTCTGTCATAGAGGCAGAATGAGGATTAAATGGCAAGTGCCTAACACAGTACATGCTCAGTCCCCATCAGCTGCTGCTGTTAACTACTGTTGCTGCTTTTATCATCTCCCTCTTGTATCTCTAACCAGATGTAACTCTTCATGAAGACAGCGTCATGCATGCTTGGCTCTCTACCATCCCCGGGGCCTTAGCGTCTTGCTGTTTCCACATTAGACGTGCAGTAGGAATCGGAGACGAAATGGCAGCTGAGGCCTGTTCTGTTTCTGCAGAAAGAAGAGGTGAGGCGGCGCCACATTCGCCTGCACATGGAAGGTGCGCTGACCGCCCGCGACAAGGTCGGGGTGCAGGATTTCGTGCTGTTGGACGCGCACACCAGCGAATCTGCTTTTCTGGACAATCTTCGCAAGCGTTTCCGGGAGAACCTCATCTATGTAACGTACCCCCTTTCTCAACTGTTTTCCTCCTGTGGCGGCTCCCTCCCTGCCTTCGCAGCTTTGTCGATTGTGAGCAATATCACGCTATTGGGTTAGCCAGAGCAGGGAGGTGTGGAGGGACCACTATCGGATGCCTTTTCATCCTTTGGGCTTAAGGCCTTTTGGGCGGCCAGCGATACACACACAGCTTAAACCCGTCTTAGCCTCAAAAGGGAATGTATGGGCCTATGTAACTGTAGGGTCTATGAATAGATCTAGGGTCTCAGTAATGTCTTCAGGACTCTTTCTCCCTCTCGCGGGATCTTTTCCACCGCTCTGGTTTCTTTTGGGTCAGTTTCCTTCTGGGGCAGCCTCTCAACAAGGTGACAAGTTGGCTGCTGACAGAACCATGCTGACATCCATTGAGAGTTGCTGAAAACAAGTCTTCCCAGATATACAGCTGTTGATAGGCTCTGATTGGCCTATTTTGGGTCACGTGCCTATCTCTGAACCAATCCCAATAGCTAGGAATGAGGAATATTCTGATGGGACAGAATATTTACCCAAGGCCACCCCTGGCGATGAGGGGTGAGGCCAGTGCCCCTCTGACCCTATGATATGCACTGAGAGCTGGGGAAGAGGGTCCCTCATAGGAATCTGTTGGACCAAGGGGAACTAGATGCCACGAAGGCATAAATAAGAGGGGGTCCACCACACCCCCTGAATCTCCAAGGGTCGAGTACTACTCAGGTTGGTCCTGTTGCTTCTAGTGGTGGCCAGCTGTTATTAAATTCTCCATTTATCACCCCACCCTAATTTGATTGGTCAATTTTTCAGGTAAATCCTTTCCGCTTACCTTTATTCCTAATTGTGTGCCAAGCAGTTTTACCTTAGTGGCTATATTACAAATATAAGTACTTCCAACACTTGAATCCAATAGAATCCAGTGTTGAAATCTTGGGGAGCGTTTGCCCAATTTTAAATGGCTGGTGTGTTCGCTCACCCTGCTTTCGCCCGATGGCCAGAGAGACCGTGGTGAAACCTACGTCAGAGTGTGGTGTGCCCCTCTTAAAGTCATTCATTTTCCGTAACGGCTCCGGGCAGGTATTTCATTCCAGCAGGGAGAGCGGTGTCTCCGCCATCTATTGCATTTGGAGTAAAAACCCCCCAACCCCTCATACGCTGTGTGACGTGAACTCGCTCCCTCTCCTACATCATCTCTTATCACTTTCTGTTCTTCCCTCCATCCCTGGCCTCCGTGGCAGCCAACCCGCCACACTTCTTCCCCAGCCTGGAACCCTTCCTGCTGACTTTTTTTCATGACTTTGCTCCTCATCCTTCAAATTTCAGCTCAGATGTCACCTGGAGGAAGCTGTCCCTAAACCCACCAGCTAAGGTGGCCTTCTTCAGTCGTCCACTCTCATTTACACCGTTCTTACCACGCATCTCTGGTGGAAACAGCCTTGAGCCCTTGGCTGTTTATCTGCCCCTGTCCACCCAGCTCCATGACAACAGAGACCCCACCTGTCTTGTTTATCACGTTCTAGCCCCAGCTCTGAATGAACGCATGGGGATCACAGCCCGTGACGGTCTTTTACGGTGGCCACTTGCACCCCGGGATGCCTCACTGGTGCTTTGGTCCATTCCTCTAGACATACATTGGCACCCTCCTCGTGTCCGTGAATCCGTACCAGGAGCTGGGCATCTACACCCTAAGCCAGATGGAACTTTACCAAGGGGTCAATTTCTTTGAGCTGCCACCACATGTGTAAGTAGCCCTCGTCGGCTCATCAATAGGAGTATTTTTCTACTTCTTTCCTCCTTCTCTTTCCCCCTCCTTTTCTCCCTTCTTCTCACCCACCCACCCATCCA